GCTTTAAGTTTCTCTCCGTTCAGTTTGATGTTGGCTATAGGCTTGCTGTATATCGCCTTTACTATGTTAGGATATGTGCCTTGTGTCCCTGATCTCTCCAAGACTTCAAACATGAATGGATGCTGGATTTTGTCAAATGCTTTTTCAGCATCTAGGGAGATGATCATGTTGGTTTTTCCTCCTTCAGTTTATTTATGTGGTGGATCACATTGTTGGATTTCCATATGTTGAACTATGCTTGCATACCTGGGATGAAGCCTACTTGGTCATAATGTAATGGATGATATCTTTGATGTGTTCTTATATTCGGTTTGCGAGTATTTTGTTGAGTATTTTTGCATCAGTGTTCATAAGGGAGATTGGCCTGAAATTCTCTTTCTTTGTTGAGTCTTTGTGAGGTTTAGGTACCAAGGTGACTGTGGCTTCATAGAATGAGTTTGGTAATGTTCCTTCTGTTTGTATTTTGTGGAATAGTTTGAAGAGAGCTGGTGTTAGCTCTTCTTTGAAGGACTGGTAGAATTCTGCACTGAAACCATCTGGTTTCTGAATGCGGTGCAAAGTTACATTTAATTCATTGATCCTTATTCATCACTAACTTATAAATTAGTTGTCAAATAATATTCATTGTCTCCTCAGTAGCAGTGATGATCCTGTAGATTCCATCCTCACCTCTGTGTATAGATGCTTTGGGGAAGGATCCAGCAGAGCCCACTCTTCCTGAGCGGGCCTTTTCCAGATGCTCATCGCCATAGGCTATTGCGTTCCAGACTTCACTCTACTTGTGTACTAGAACGCACAATAGTGACAACACTAGAAATTAATATTTGTTCGTGTGTTCATTCATTCATGATTAACAACAAATGAATCATAAACTTGTATCACATTCAGAAAGTCTAGGCAAAGCAGGGCACTACTAATAATTAAAGTAATACACTCAATTAGTTTTCCAAACCCATCGGGAACCTAGCCAAAGAAGTCACACTACAAGAAATCCCGACGATTACTGGCCCTGTGGAAACTGCTGTGTTCATTCTGGTTCACTTTACAAATTCAGTGTGACGACGAATATAGGAAAATTAATGAATGCATTCGCTGTGGTGAAGCTGAGCTCGCCTAGGTCCTTTGACATGTGTGAAAACCCACGTATAGAAAAATCATGCTGTAAGTGTAATAGTTTCCCACCATCAGAGGTGTCTTGGAAGGTACGAAACACGCACAGTCAAGGGGAAGACTATGAATGTAAACAAAGTAGTAAAGATGTATCTTCATTTTACAATAAGACCCAGTTGCAAACTTAATTTATACCGATAAAAAGATTCATCAGTGTGATGAACACGGTAAAGCTTACATGTACACTTATTACCTTGGCAGGAATGAAAGAACACCTACTTATGAGAATCCCTATGAATGTAACCAGTGTGGGGAAGCCTTTTCACAACACGGACTTCTCCACACGCATAGAAGCTCACACCCTGGAGAGAAACCCTACAAATGCAACCAAAGTGCTAAAGCCTTTGTACGTGGCAGTATTCTTCGAAGCCATGAAAGACGTCACACCGGAGAGAAAAACTACGAATGTGTTCAGTGTGGGAAAACCTTTTCACAACCCAGTTATCTCCACAGTCATAAAAGAACACACACCGAAGAGAAACCTTATGAATGTAGTCAATGTTGTAAAGCCTTTGCATGTTCTGATGTTCTCCGAAAGCATGAAAGAACACACACCGGAGAGAAACCCTATGAATGTAATCAGTGTGGGAAAGCCTTTGCATGTTGTACTGGTCTCCGAAATCATAAAAGAACACACACCGGAGAAAAACCCTATGAATGTGTTCAGTGTGGGAAAGCTTTTGCACGTTGTAGTGATCTCCGAAAGCATGAAAGAATACACACCGGAGAGAAACCCTTTGAATGTAGTCATTGTGGTAAAGCCTTTGCACATCGTAGTGGTCTCCACAGTCATGAGAGAACACACACCGGAGAGAAACCGTACAAATGTACTC